AAATCCTAGAATCGCCCCAGCATCAAAGCATTATGAAACATTTCCACAGAAATAAGTAGTGCAACTGTTCATCAACAATAATAACAATGATAATAATAAGAAATGTTTACTAAGCATCACATCAGTAAGTATATTACACTGATTTCTGAAGAGTAGAAATCATATTTGAATATAGAAAAATTTCTGAAGGTGCTGAAAAATGGAGTAATGGCTGATGACAATTCAGCTTTGCCATCACAGGAATAAAATCTATTTTAAAATAAAAAAATAAAAATAGATAAATAGATATTTATTCATTGATGAATAAATTAAATGATGGCAGAATGTTCATTTTAAGTGAATTATTTCTTTAAGGATGAAGAATGTAATTTTTGCACCACTAATGACATCAAACAGAATCGCAAATATAATGGTTCTTCTCAAATACTTCAAATCATCTACCACTGGTCAGACAAACAGATAGCATCATTGTCATGGGTTTGAGACTATTAAAAGTATTGAACACTGAAAAATATTTGTTTTGCTTTAAAGATTTTGCAGGCACCGCCAGTCCTGATTTGACCACTTGTGTGGGAAACAAAGCTGAGAATTGCAGCACAAGAATATTAATCAAGGCTGCACAATCGGTTGCAGACAAGGTGTGAGGCGGCAGAAATAAACAGGAGTGACAAAGAGCGAAAAGACAGAGGGAGAGAGTGAGAGACAGAGAGAATTAGAGGCAGAGACGTAGAGGTCATTAGCACCGTCACTCTTAAGGTGGAGCATCTCGCGAGGTTCCTCTCCGCTAAGCGCTTTGCGTTTGCCATCTCTCTAATCGCCTAATCGACGCCTTTAATTAAGACATGCTCAATGGCAGACCAACCCCTCCCGTCTCACCCCCTTCAGCCTCCCCCTTCCCGCTTGCTGCACAGTTGTGCAATCGCCCCTTTACTCGCTCCTCTCCGGGGGTCCGGCCCACTACGTTGACCTCGTAGCTCGGTCTGGCGTTCCCAGGGGAACCGTGGCCTCCTCATGAGCTCTGATTTCACACTCCTCTCCCGCCACAAAGCACCGGCGCACAAAGCTTTTCTAAGAGCCCCGGCTCGCTCACGGACTCGCCGTCTCAATCGGCCCTGGCACCGAGGTGTCAGCCAACAAGGTTACGGGCCACGGAACAGTGCCTCCTCTAATAGAGAGCTCACTGGAGACAGGGAGAGTCCAGGAAAAGTGGAAGGCAAGGAGAGTGAACATAAAAGATAATGTGGCCGAGAGAAAAAGAAAAAGAGAGGGAAATCTTAGTTCTCGTTCTTGCATCACCGAATGTGGTTTTTTTTTGTCCCACCCCTCTTTTCTGTCTGTTTTTCATTGTAATTAATTGAGGCTTTTATCTGGAGTGCCTCCACTCCAGGCCAGCAGGATAAATGGTGACAGTGTGTAAAACCAACAGTATTTAGGGACAGGAGACTGCTTTCCTTCTGAATAGAGCCACTCAATACTTCACATAGATTGCTTTGGATGCAGGCATTACTCTGGCAGTAGGCAATTTCATTAACACCCAGTTTTCAAACAACAGTAGGAACTGTTCTGCCCTTGCTGCCATCAGTGTGTTTGTATATGATAATCCTATGGGCGGTTAAATGCTCCTCTCATCATGCAGGTACTTCTGCTTAACACCGTTCCTGCATTTCATTTAAAGCTCCTTCCAGACCTGAAAAATGTAATTACCGTTTTGTACATCAGCGCGCCGCACGCTCATCAAATTGCAGCCGGAATGAGGTTGAACTCATCTCGCTGGTCTGTGAGGATTTGCCCAGAATTAACCCACGGATAGCGTCTGCTCGGCCACACCTGGGGAGTCAAAGTTTCATTCAGTGCGAAGCGTGTAATTTGCTCAGACAGCTGCCTCACGAACACGTAGTAGTTTGTCGCCGAGGATGACCGAGTGTCACCGCGAGGATATTGAATAGGATGGTTCACTTTCCTGCGCCCTTCAATATACATTCATTTAAGCAGATGCAAATAATTTTTGAATGATGAAAATACTCACGACAATTTAAATGTTTGTGTGAATATATTGTAAATGAGTGATTGAAATTAGGAAGATGATTTAATTCATTTTTTTAAATAATTTTTTTTACAAACACAAAATAAATAAACATTTGAATCCATAATTTTATCTCCTAACTGAATTTCTGTAGCTTGTTTTGCTAATTTTATTTCTACTACACCATGAACATTTTTTGTGTAAAATTAATTTAGTCAACTTATTTTATTATATCAGACACATAATAGTGTAATCACTGCATTTAAATAATAAAAAAGTGAATTAAAAATATATGCAGTCTGATCAATATACCCCTCAAATTGATATGCTTGGTGACAGCAAAGACTTTCCATTGATCACTGTGACATTTATTTTGCTTGTCAACTAAATGTCTTTGCTTCTTTTATTCACATGCAGGAAAGTGAATTATTTTATACTGCATTTTAACTTTGCAGCATGTTATAAAATAACCATTATGGATGTTATTTTTTGCCCCAGCTTTTAGAAATTATGCTCTGCAACAAACAACAAAAGTGCTCCCAATTGTTTTGTTTAGAGATTTGTTTAATGATTAAAAAGTTTAGATCAAAGCTGATATGAAGAGTTTGTTGTTTAAGTTTTCATTGAGAACAATATTCCTTTAAATTATAAACATTTATTTACATGTGTATATAATTAGCTGATTTCAAAGCATGTAGGACAGTGGATTATATAAATGTCTCTAGAGTCAACTTCTTATAATAATATATTTTGTTTACAGGATAATGTAGTCAGGATTATTCAATTAAGCTTTGTATTGGTAGTTGAAAATGTGACACATAAGTAAACTTTTTCTTTAAGAAGAAAATGAACTTTTGTTTGAGATTACACTCCCTCTGCAAGTACAGCCATTGTGCCGTTTGATAATGTGCCATACATAATTTCTTATATTAGTTCGAAAATCAAGAGGTTGTTCCATTGACGTTTTTTTTTTCATAATATTTCAATCTTCATGGCTGGAAATTCATTTGCGAATTCCCATGGAAAGCTGGGTAATCTAGCCTCTCCTTGGAGCGCTCATCTCTTAAAGAATAACCTCATTTTCTTTCATTAGACTTCTCCTCTTTAGCCTACTTTTCAAAGATAGCATTTCAAATGGAGAATTGCAGCATCTTTTTTTAACCCCAGCACAATGGAGATTGTCACCAAGGATTTAGATGAATCACATTTTTTGTCATGACTTAAAAGATCTTTTCAGTGTTTAATATTAGTCAATGACTTCTTCCCCTACCCCTTTTTTCTTCAACTAGCAATGTGAAAGACATCCACTCAGTCTTAGAGGTGACTGTCTATGACGAAGACAGAGACCGAAGTGCCGACTTCTTGGGCAAAGTGGCTATTCCGTTGTTAAATGTAAGTTTTGAGCGTGCAGACTTTTTCTTACAACAGTGAATCAGTATCAGATTAGACAAATGCACGAAAAAGTTTTTCTTTGAATTTTTATTTAAAAACTTGGCATCCCAGCAGGCACCGGACGTCTATGTAACGTCAGGTTGACGTTGGACATGACGTCAGACAGACGTTGCATTTTGGTTGAAAATGAAAATCGGGTTGACGTCAATATTTGACGTTGACTTAACATTGGATTTTGGTTACACAACCTGAAAACAACAAAATATCAATGTCAGCTGATGTCAATTTAACATTGACATTAGATGTTGAATTTACATTGAATTTTGGTCAGCCGACGTCGCAACCAAAATTTAACCAAATATCAACATCTTATGACGTTGTGTGCCTGCTAGGATGTGTCTAACCTTTTATTGATTTTAGAAATCATAGAGTAAGATGTCAAAGTGAGAAAAACACACACACAAAAGTTTTTTAAAAAATGGGAGAAAAATCAACAAAGCATGTGTCTACCCTTCATTGATTTTAGTAATCATAGAGTAAGATGTGAAAGTGAGAAAAACACTGGGGGAAAAAGCTACTAACAAAAACAAAGAAGAAAAGAAAAGATAAGGGGGGACGCAATGTGCGCTCCCAGGCTGATTCCCCAGGATAGTTAATTTGTGGCTGACAGTGGTTGGGCCGTAATGAACAGGTACTTGTCAGAGCCGCCACAGTTGTTTTGGGCTCTCTGTCAGATGCAGCAGCTGGGGTTCAAAGGTCACATGGAGAGTGTATTCAGCAGGGTATTGCCAGACAGACGGCTGTCATGTCCCTCTCCCGCAGATCCAAAATGGAGAACGCAAAGCTTACGCCTTGAAAAGCAAGGAACTGACAGGGCCAACCAAAGGGGTCATCTTTCTCGAAATAGACGTGATTTATAACATTGTAAGTCCCACTCTCTTTTTCTCGCTTGCTTTTTTCTAGCGTTTTTCACTTCTTTATCTGCTTGTTCTCTTCAGCCTCTCCCGGGTTGTCTGTCTCTCTTTTAATTACTGAAGACTCCCCTTTCCTCAGCCTTTTATTTGTGCTTCTGTGTACCGCTGTGTGTGTGTCCGTCCGCCATTTTAGGCGGGAGTGTGAGAGAGCGTCACATGGCCGTGTGGTGTGGAGTGTGTGAAATGGAGGGATGTCTTGATATATTAGATCGTTAATGACGCATCTTGATCTCGACGGTGGATTATTGCATTCAATTACACATGAAGTTTATATGTTGCAGGTAAAAGCAGGCATGAGAACTTTGATTCCCATCGAACAGAAATACATCGAAGATGAGCCACGAGTGTCCAAACAGGTAACGAGAGCACTTTAATCGCACCTTTGTTGAAGACATTAATAAAATCCCGCCCAACACAAGTTGTAGACAGCAGTATCTTTCTCCTCGTCTTCCCCCCTCTCTCTCTCTCTCTCTCTCGCTCCTTCTCCTCATCTCTTCCTTCTCTTCTGGAGGTGCTGAATAGAAATGTCAAGCTGTCAACGCTGGGGGTGCATAAGTAGATTGGCCATCCTTTAGTTTGGACCTCAGTGGTTCTTCTGCTGTGCTTCTTTTTGTCACCCTGTTCAATGTCTCCCCCCATCCCTGACAAAGAGCTGAATTGTAGGGGTTGTCCCAAATCAGACCTGTCACTGAGACACTGCTTGGGACAAACACACACACACACACTGAGTGCATGCTAGAAAGTGCCCACTCTGCACTTTTCAGTGTGAATTTGCCCCCCACCTAAACTGTTTGTGAGTGAGACACAAACCGAACGGCGAGGGCAACATATCAAATTTATCTCCACAAGATTTGCTTTTACTTCTTGATACTGTCTCCTCAACCGTTGAAGCTCACTTCGTCGAACACATATTTTATTCTTTAGTAGTTTGGTATCGCATTTCACCTCGAATGTACTTTGATTAGTCCCAAATGACAAACACAAATGGCCTACTTTAAAGGGATAGCCCGAATCCTACACTTCACCACAGTAAATGTGGATATTTACTATGATCAAAGCTGTAGCGTTTTAAAGCCATTATACGACCAGGAGCTTTTGATCTTCCCGTGAACATAGGAAGAAGCGGTCATTTGCAGTTCACCCGCACTCAGAAACATGAATAAGACCATTTTATTAAAGAGGAATAACAAAAAAATATAATAATAAATAAATAAATAAATAATTCATTCATACTCCTACAAATACAAAGATAGATATGATTTGTTTCATTATTTTGGTCTAGTATCGTTTTTTGGTGTTATTCCCTAACAACATCACTAAAAAGTAGTTTCCCCATTATTTCTAAATGTTGATCTATAATTATTCTAGCGCTGTTAGACCTAAGATTTTTCCACATCAAATTATGATAATTTAAAATGTATGTTATATACACTACTGTTGAAAAGTTTGGGGCCTGTAAGATATTTTTTTAGTTTTTTTTAGTTTTAGTATACTCGCCAAAGCTGCATTTATTTAATCAAAAACACGGTAAAGATTTTTCTTTTTGTAATAAAATATTACAATTTAAAATAACTGCTTTCTATTTGACTAAAATTTTAAATGTAATTTATTGCTTTGCCTTACTCCATTCCTCAGCATCACATGATCTGTCAGAAATCATTCTAAAATGCTGATTTGGTGCTCAAGAAACATTTTTTTATTATGATCAATGTTGAAACTAGCTACTTAATGAAAAATCACACAAAGTGTGATTCTTTTTGTTTCATTCCTTGATGAATGTAAAGTCAAAAGAACAGCATTTAATTGAAATGAAAATCTTTTGTAACATTGTAAATGTCTATGCTGTCATTATTGACAAACAAAAGTATTACCCTTTGCTGAATGATAGTATTACTTTAATATTTTGAATGGTAGTGTATGTAGTTTAAAAAATGGATTTTAGTTTTAGTATATTTGTTTTCTCATTGTGAATCAGTTTAATTGTGAAGTGTTGTCTGTTCTGTCTCTCAGCTGCTGCTGCATAACTTCAACAGAGTGAGGCGCTGTATAATGTTCCTGGTCAATGCTGGCTGCTATATCAACAGCTGCTTTGAGTGGGAGTCTCCTCAGAGGAGCATCTGTGCCTTTCTGGTAAGGACCAGTATGAATTCAACCACACCAGCAGTCGCATACAGAGGCTCCAGAATGTTTCTGGACACATTTATGTTTGGCAACAATTGAATTTCATTATATCAGATTTAAAATATAAATAAATATCTGGATATTTTCTGGTTGTCAAATGGATTCGACTTTATATTAAGTGGCCTTAACTACCTACATTTAAATTAAGCATTTGATACAATGCACTTATTGTGTACAAACATGTTTTACATTTATATTTTTAAAAAATATCTGCATGTAATAACATCTGTAATTAATTTCTGTAATTACATTTATTACACTGTAATAATACATTTACTACACCTTAAGCCACCCTTAAACCTACCCATACCACCAAACCGGTCCCTAACAAAAAAACAATATGAACACAATAAGTACATTGATGTAAGTACATAGTAGTTAAGGCCACTTAATATAAAGTGGGACTGTCAAATGTTAGTGGATCATGTTCAGAGTTAATGTGATGAACTACACCTGTGGTTACTCTGGAACACATTTATGAACTTTATACATTCACTAAAATGACCTTGGGATAAATTGATTGCAAAAATGCCTCATAAAAGTGACGTTAACTCGGAGAAGAGTACTCTGGTATTTTGTTATCAATAGCAGATTTGAATCGGCAAAGAAATTCTGTTTCTTTTCTCAGAGTTAACATAATTTTTCTAAGCCATTTTTTGCAACCAATACATCCCAAGGTAATTTTAGTGAATGAAGTAAGTTCTCCTCGGATCACACATGAGTAACCATAAATGTAGTTCATCACATTAACTCTGAACATGATCCACTAACCAGAAAGTATCCACGTAATGTACATTTATCATTACTTTTAACAGTATGTCCACTGTTTTATTATTCAATACCTAACAAACATTTTTTTCTTTGAAATGTTTTGCTTCAAAAGTGCATTTCTATATATTTTCTTAAAAATAATTGGCACTTGATTTGGTATTTTATTTCTACTTAAGTGATTTTCAAACATTTTAAGTGTGTTTAAAGTGCCCAGATACTTTCTGGGGCCATTTCACGTACACACTGGACTTTATAAAATATAGTGACAAGTTCTGTGGTGATCCATTAGGTCCTGTGTGCACACATTTCCCATCTCTCCGTCTGTTGTGTTAAAAATGTCCAGAATTTTGCCCATTTGTCTTTGACATCCTCCAGCAATTCTCTCAGATCTCAGGCACCTCGGGTGAAATCATCTGAATTCACGACAGTCTCTTTCATAGCGTGGTGCACCTTCAGATTTTAATTGGACAGTTGAACCTTCATGAAAAGGACACCCTTTGTGAGTGGGCCGTGTGACTAAATGCTAGCACAGGACAAGCTGGCTAATCTTTGCCTGTGATGCTGCATAATTTGCTGTAAGGCCTGTCTGTTTCGGGACTCGCGTGTCTTTAAGTGTCGCAGGGTAGGCCATTAACATTTGCTGCTTGACACATTTTAATTTCAGTACACTTCCGAAAGCAAAAGCCGAGGGCACATGCGTGAGTAGAGGGACAGCTGTATCGATCAGCTAACATTTTAGTTGGACATTTTTTTGGTTGGTTGTCGGGGGAAAAAAACATCAATGAAAATGTCAGAGGAAGAAATGTCAAGAGGTTGGAGGAGAATAAAACAAAAACAATCACATTGCATTTGTCCTTAATGTTCAGATGCTTTGTTTATTCATTCACATTCAGTTCAGTACGTCTGACCTGAACTTCCAAAGTTATAAAAATAGCTTTAAAAAGAAGAAAAAGAGTGTTTTTTTTGTTACTTCTTTTTTGTATTTTCTTCACAGTTGTCCCATTAGCTGGTAATGTTATTCTTTGGAGTCTAAATCTCCCTCCTTAAGAGCTCTCTTAATCATCACACTGATTTCTTTCTTTATCACCAGCCATCTGGTTCAGGTGAGCCTTCACCACTGTGCCGAGACACACATCTGTGCCGTTCTGTCAGCCGCTGACAGTTGTAAGCTAAAAGAATACAATAGTCAGACACCGGCGGAGGTGATTTTGCATTCAAGAGTTGCAGAACCTCCGGTGCTTGCCGCACAAAGGTTAGCCAAAGCAAAGGGGCTGCTCGCGATGCGCAGATAAAACCAGCTGCGAGCGGCGGCGGTGGCAAGCCTTCTGATTTGCTATTCTGGTATTTTTAGGTCTGTGCCTTTTTGACATTTTAGAGTTCTTGTTTTTAGCTTAGGTTTTGAGGTTGTATTGGTGTTTTTGTTTATGTTGTTGGGATTTTGTTGCAGAAAGTCTTCCAAAGATTTTTTTTGTTTGTTTGTTTGCTGGTGCTCCAAATACTCTGCTCCTTTTCTTAAAGGTGAAGCGTGTAAGTAAAACATCGTGCTGGATCTCAGTTTAATATGCAAAGTAGGCCATTTTTATGTTGAAAACTTTTAGGCAGCCATACCTGCTTGACACAACCATGGCAATAGTTAGGGGGTGGGACTATCTGTTTGATGACCAATAGCTGACAGCCATCCTTGGCCGATACATTTCTTATTATCAGTGTTGAAAACAGTTGTGCTGTTTAATATATTTTTTTGTGGAAACCAGGTTTCTCTTTTTAAAGATTCTTTGATGTATATAAAGTTCAAAAGAACTATAAACGTCTTTACTGTTATTTGCAATCAAACGTATGTGTCCTTGCTGAATTAAATTTTTAATTTATTTAAAAAAGGCATTAGTTTGGGGGTCAGACTACCTATTTGACAAGCAGTGGCAGATTTTTTAAATTTTTTTTAATGGTCAATGTGGAAACCTTGTGCTGCTTAATATTTTTGTGGAAATGATTATTTTTCCAGGATATGTTGATAAATAGAAAATTCAAAAGAACCTAGTTTATTTGAAATATTTTGTTACAATAAAAATATCTTTACTGTCACTTTTGATCAATTTAATGCATCCTTGCTGAATGAAAGTATTAATTTATTTGACAACCAATGGCCAAGAGCCATCATTGGCTAAAACATCTCTTATGTTATGTTGTACTTCTAAATATTTTTATAGAAACATGAATAGAAAGTTGAATAGATTGATGAATAGAAAGTTCAAAAGAACATAGTTTATGAAGTCTTTATAACAATGCTAATGTCTTCTTTACTGTCACCTTTGATCAATTGAATGTGTCTTTGCAGAATGAAAATATTAACTGATATTGGACAACCAATGGGCAACAGTCATCTCTGCAAATTTCTTTACTGCAAAAATCTTTACATGTGTGTTAACTTTTGTAAGCCGTACATTCATGATCGCACACGGCCGGCCAGTCAAGACGACACAGCTCATGGCATATTCACAATGAACAAAGCTCGGAGAGTATGTGTGCGTGTGTGTGCTCGTTCAAGTGCGCGTGGGTGTCCTTGTGAGTGTTTGTGCACGTCTGCCTCCCCTCTCCACGAACACCTGTAAGCTGAGCGTTTGCGCTGGGTGAATATGGGCCATTGTTCTGGCTGGCAGAGTGGTGCTCATAAAGACCACTCTGTGCCAGCCCTCCCCGCGTGCCACTCTACCCCTCCAGCTCCTTATTGCTCCCGCACCAACTCTTCCTCCAAACAAATTTGCCGTAACTCTACCTGCAATTTGGCCTTGAATTGGGAGCAAATAGAGCAGGTATTGTGTGTCGTGGGGAATAAGAGTGGTGTGTGTGTGTAGAGAGTAAGGAGAGGGAGATATATTGGAAGGGGAGAGGTAAGGAAATGATACCCGGCTCCTTTATGTGGGGTAAAGTAGGACTCTTATCAGTGGGAGCACCCAGACAAGAGAGCTACTACTACAGGAAACTGGAGCAGCCTTCACCTGCTTTGCATTTAGATAAAATACACCCGCTCCCCAAAAAAAAGAGACAGGAAAAGAGAAACAAATGCTTCGGTGTGTATCTTCACGATTACAACCCGCGGTGTGCTACAAGGTGGCACCTTTCTGCTCCATGTCACCTGTCAGCCAACGGCTCCGAGAATGTTTTATTTATTTATTTATTTTATGAGACAAATTAGGAAAAATTGTATATATTGAATTCAGCTTAATCTGTTAATATTACACCCAAAATTTATTTAAAATCAGTAAACTTTTATATTGCTGATAAATTTTTTTTATATATTTTTTAAATATAAAAATAAAAAAATACAATAAAATAATAAAATAAAATAAAATAAAATAGTGTTTCGGCTTCTATGGAGCAGTGTACCCCATATGACCCCAGATTTTTGTTGCATGTGGATTTATGTTATTGTGTCTTTTTTAATGATGAAATTATGATATTATTTTCTTCTGAAAATTCATTTTTTTTTTTTTTTTTTTTTATTATGGTCTATAAATGAAATACCACAGATTTTGTTGTTAGACCTTAAGATGTTGACCTTAAGAGCTGACATGAACTGTTCTACAGAAATCGTGTTTTAATAACTAGTCAATAGTGAAGATTTCCTGTTTGAGCACATGTTTTAGGAATGCTCTTTTTCAAGAACTTTCTAATTAGATTGAGATCAAATCACAGTGAGTCTGAAAAACAAGGAACGAAAGCATTTCACGACATGCCAGAAGATGGCAGTGCGGCATCACTCAATCCAAACATCCCCACCTAATGAGTCCAGCCAAAAAGCAGATGAGTTATTGACGTCCATAATCAGCCTCTCATTCTGCGTATTTCTACCCACTGTTGGCACTATTTAAAATAATCAACACAATGTGATGACTTAATTTCTGAAGTCCAAGTACAGGGGCTGTTGTAGGCTGTGTTGGTAACACACTTTTAATGTGCTAATTCTCAAATGCCTGCTCTGAAGTGCTCAAACCTGCACTCCACAACACAAAGTGCCAAAACGATATTGAAATTGGCTGCCAAAACGTGCCCGTCCTCCATTCCAAAAATCCAGCGAGATGCTGAAACACTTGGCCGATCCAGATCGTTCTCCCGGTTAGAGCAACGGCTTTTGTTAAGGGACTTAATCTCAAGTGCTTTCGCTTGGACAAAATCAAATAGATATTTAAAATGAAATCAAATTTACATGCTACTTGATGTTAGAGATGGATGTAGCGTGTATGAAAATGCTAATATCACTTAGTTGTTTGATATTCCGCTTAGTCAAATTCATTAGGGAAGTGAAACAAAACACACACTGTGTAGGCATTCTTTCATCATGCTTCAGATTCACTTCTTTTCTATTAATTTCATACATAAAAACTCATTTTTTATTCTAACATACCCTAATTTTAGAAAAAATGTAAGCAATAGATATAAGCATTTTCTTCTACTTGAATAAAAAAAGACGTCTTTGTGATGTCCTTGTCTTGGACAAGAATCCTTGTTGTCCTGTTATATTACACCGAACCAAAGTTGAACTATAATAGATATTGATGGTAACAGCAATAGCGATTTGTGGATTTCTTTTGGTGCTTTTTGTAGATTAAAGGACTGACAGGAAATTACATTTCAGATGCCGTTTAATGAATAGATGTCATGCTCTGTATTAGGTTACTGTTGGTCATTCATTGTCATTGTAAGACGGGATCCATGCAGGTGGAGAGGTTACAGTACATGCCCTGAGTGGAACACTGCGGCTCTGAAGTACAGGAAACTGAACGCCGTGGCTCCGGAATGGCCGCCAAAGCTGGCGAACTGTCTGTGAATATCTGGATGCGCTCTGACAAAGCCTCTTGTCGCGTGTTCGCAGATTCGGTTTCTCCTTTTCCTCTCTATCATCCGAACCTTTTTCTTTCCCTTTCAGTTTGTGGTCCGTGGCCGTTCCCTCCTCTCTCTTGGCCGCGGGGTTGTGTGAAAGAGAGAAGGGTCACTTCCAAGCAGGCAAAGTGTCGGCTAACATCAGCTGTCAATCAGACTCTGGCCCTCAGCTAGAATAACCAAACTTAAGAATGGAGTCCAGCGACAGGTTAAGGAACCACTATAGGCATATGAAAACAAATGGACGCTGCGGAGTAGAGACAAAGAAATGGATTTTCTTTGTGAGCGATAGATTCACGAATGACTCCCTTGGCGTGAATTTAAATTCCAATGAGTGTATTTTGTAATTAATTGAGTCAGGGGCTGAAAGATAGAAAACGAAATCTGTCAAAGTTTGTTGAAGGCTGATCTGTTATATTTTAAATATTTTTAATACTAAATTAAGTCATTATGATTTTATGAATGCACATATGGAAGATATTAATTCAAAGTGATGACATTCTAATTACTTTGTCTGAAAAATATATTTTGCTCTAATTAATGGGACAAGCTACAGATGTTTTGCTGAATTTTGCAAGAAATGTGTTTGCTAGGAGTATTACTGTAACTAGAATTACTAGAATACCAAATGTTACAGAATTGTATTAATTTTTTTACTGGGAAGTGTTTTTCTGTAAGCAGCTTGTGCATATTACATATTTTGCTATATGCAAATTCTCAGATTAGTTCCTTTATTGCATATTAAGTGCACCATTTACATTTGTAATTGTATTGATCCATTGTTTTCTGCTTTATTTCAATGTAGCTTATTTGTATTAATTTCTTCAAAGTATATTTGAAGCTTTAATATTAAAATTGTGAGAGAGGTCATTTAAAGATAACATTTGAACCAGTGTTGATAGTACGTATATTATGCATGTTAGAGGTGCCTAATTTGTGCCCCGAGTCTTTTTCCCCCTCGTTGAAATGTTGAGTGTGTGCGCATTGGGTAACAGTGCTGTAATGGATAGTGTGAAGGGCACGGAAATACATCTGACCTGTTTCGGCAAGATTCTGAGATTTTCCACTGCTCTGCATGTGTGTTTGTGGGCATGTCCGGTCCAGTCTGATTTAATACTATGTAAACTTTTCGAATGTAACGAGGTCTTTGTGGAGTGAGTTTATGTATAATAGCCTCTCTGTGGATGCATGGCTTAAGTGCATTTCATATACTGTATAAGGATACTTGATTTATTTTACAAACCTGAATACTTGCACTGAATATCACGTTTGATCTTTTTGTATTCAGTTGGGTTAACTTTAACATTTATTAGTGTAAACTCTTAAAGCTCATCAGCCTTCTCAATCTGGCAGATTCATTTTTATTATCTGTGAATAATATTGCCATGGCTGTGATTTGTGCTTAGCTCTAAATATGTCTCACAGAAACAATCGAAAGGTGGAGATTATTAATTTTGGTTTTATGCATTTATTCGTTTTACTTTTTAAAATTTAGTTTGGATTAATGGCTTTGCTAGAAAATATTTTTGGCTCTATTCATTGTATTTTACAGCTCTTTCAAAAATGTGAAGTTTCATATGAGGTAGATTGCAGTATATAAAGTTAGTGCTCATAGTAATTAGTTTCACTTTTTTTGGGGGGGGAGGGAAAATGTTAAAAGAACTATATATAGTTTTTGTTTCTTCTTCAGTAAATAAAGCTAAAAAACAAAAATATCAAATTGCTACACCGTGTTTTATACTTTTTATGGAGTATGTGAACATTTGGTTCAAGCCGTGGGGTGATGGGCAGTAGGGTCACATTTACTATAGAGTAAGACCAGAAACATGCTTTTTGCTTTATGTTTTGAACCTTTATAATGTTATTTAAGGAGAATGAGATTTTGTTGCAGATGATTGGACTCATTCATTGTGTTTTCACATTGAACGACTTTAAAAGCATCATCTGTGCTCACACATGACAGACTGTGAAAAATAATCATTGTGTTACTGTTATGTATTACTGGTTGTCAGGTGTTCTGAAGGTATCCAATAAAAAACGAATTTAGATATGAAGCAATTAAATTGAGAGATTAGAACAGTTTCCAAAAAAATATAAAAAGTTACAATAAATCACAAATGTTGGTCTTTCTGAGCTTTCTAATTTTAGTTTTTGAAAAAACTGACATAGTTTAGAACCCAGTCAAATGATTGTTGATGTGTTTTAATGTATGTTTTATAAATACATCTTCAGAACGATGTCCTTACCTTTTGTTTGTTCATTTATTGTTTGTTCTCTCTTTCTGTAGCTTTTCGTTGTGGTTGTGTGGAATTTTGAGCTCTATATGGTCCCGCTGATTCTCCTGATGCTGCTGGCCTGGAACTACGTTCTCATTGCTTCAGGGAAGGACACGAGACAGGGAGATGTGGTGAGTTCTGTCACACACTGACCTGCACCTGCATTTCTATCTAATACTCTTTCTTTCTTTCTTTCTGTATTTAATATTTATAAGTATTAAAATATCTATTAGAATTCCAAATATTTTGTCTCATTCAGCACTCATAAAAACTTTTGAAAATGATTGTTTTTCAAAGTACGGAACAGGTGGGAACTCGAGCATTTCTGCGTGGCACTCCAAGCTGTTTATTTATTGAAATATTTTAATTAAAAAGTGTCAGTGCTGTGGCTGCTAGCTTGTTATCTGAAAGCAATGCAGCCGTTTACATAAACCCATGCTTTGTGCTTTATTTTTATAAATGCACACTCAGAGAGGACTGATGTACTTTTGAAAGGACTAATATTCCCCCAGTGGAAGTGTCCCATTCATGCTTTCATCACTACACTATAGATGTCAGGCTCCCTGTGCCTGGCAGGATGTCATTTCAGATAACTCTAACTGTAGCTCTGCGCTAAACCTGCTGACACATAAATGGAGGCTGCGGTGCTCCAACAGTCCAAGCTGTTTTTTTTTTGTTTTTTTAACTGAGACAGACAGAAATGAGAAACGGAGATGCTGCCCAGCCTAGATGGCAAGACTTACTCTGAAAATTTTCCAAGTGTTTGTATGACATCTGACTATCAGCATCGCATGGTTTTGTAATGTGGTGCAGCATGTCTCATGCACAGAATGCAGTGGATGAGCGTGTGCGCTCAAATATTCTGTATGCATGGAAAAGGAGGGTAAAAGTGAGACTCTAGGTATGAACAAACACATTTTGCTATAAGTTTGATTGCATCATATAATAATTGCTGTTAATATTGTTCATCGTCTGCAGAGAGCTGGGACCAAAGTAACAAAGGCTACATCAGTAACACACTGCGCTGCCAGGGACTCAAATCCTGCAGTGCCAGATGTGTCCCCCTGCTTAAGCCAGTACATGTCCAGGCCTGTCTGAAGTTTGCTAGAGAGCATTTGGATGATCCAGAAGAGGATTGGGAGAATGTCATATGGTCAGATGAAACCAAAATATAACTTTTTGGTAAAAACTCAACTTGTCGTGTTTGGAGGAGAAAGAATGCTGAGTTGCATCCAAAGAACACCATACCTACTGTGAAGCATGGGGGTGGAAACATCATGCTTTGGGGCTGTTTTTCTGCAAAGGGACCAGGACGACTGATCTGTGTAAACGAAAGAATGAATGGGGCCATGTATCGTGAGATTTTGAGTGAAAACCTCCTTCCATCAGCAAGGGCATTGAAGATGAAACGTGGCTGGGTCTTTCAGCATGACAATGATCCCAAACACATCGCCCGGGCAATGAAGGAGTGGCTTCGTAAGAAGCATTTCAAGGTCCTGGAGTGGCCTAGCCAGTCTCCAGATCTCAACCCCATAGAAAATCTTTGGAGGGAGTTGAAAATCCGTGTTGCCCAGCGACAGCCCCAAAACATTACTGCTCTTGAGGAATGGGCCAAAATACCAGCAACCGTGTGTGAAAACCTTGTGAAGACTTACAGAAAACGTTTGACGTCTGTCATTGCCAACAAAGGGTATATTATAACAAAGTATTGAGATGAAATTTTGTTATTGACCAAATACTTATTTTCGACCATAATTTGCAAATAAATTCTTTAAAAATCCTACAATGTGATTTTCTGGATTTTTTTTTCTGGATTTTTTTTCTCATTTTGTCTCTCATAGTTGAGGTATACCTATGATGAAAATTACAGGCCTCTCTCATCTTTTTAAGTGGGAGAACTTGCACAATTGGTGGCTGACTAAATACTTTTTTCCCCCACTGTATATATATATATACATATGTCACTTGAAGCTTAAAGCTGTTTGTTGGCTGCTAGCTTGTTATCTGAAAGCAATGCAGCCGTTTACATAAACCCATGCTTTGTGCTTTATTTTTATAAATGCACACTCAGAGAGGACTGATGTACTTTTGAAAGGACTAATATTCCCCCAGTGGAAGTGTCCCATTCATGCTTTCATCACTACACTATAGATGTCAGGCTCCCTGTGCCTGGCAGGATGTCATTTCAGATAACTCTAACTGTAGCTCTGCGCTAAACCTGCTGACACATAAATGGAGGCTGCGGTGCTCCAACAGTCCAAGCTGTTTTTTTTTGTTTTTTTTACTGAGACAGACAGAAATGAGAAACGGAGATGCTGCCCAGCCTAGATGGCAAGACTTACTCTGAAACTTTTCCAAGTGTTTGTATGACATCTGACTATCAGCATCGCATGGTTTTGTAATGTGGTGCAGCATGTCTCATGCACAGAATGCAGTGGATGAGCGTGTGCGCTCAAATATTCTGTATGCATGGAAAAGGAGGGTAAAAGTGAGACTCTAGGTATGAACAAAAGCTGCACAGAAGAATTCTTACAGGCATATTCTCTCTCTCTTTCTTGATAGACTTTTCAGCTTTAGTTATAATCACTTTCTTTTTATTACAATACAGACAAATTTTTTAATTACATTTTTATTACATTGTATGCCAATATACTGTATATATATATATATATTGTTAACAAGTTTTGCTTATTTACCACACTCTAAAAAATGCTGGGTTGTTTCAACCCAATGTTGGGTCAAATACGGACTAACACAACTGTTGGGTTAAATTTTGGTTACATTTTTAAATTAACTTTTTAACCCAACAGTTGGGTTTGTCCATATTTGACCCTTTTTTTTGTTTTTTTTACTGAGACAGACAGAAATGAGAAACGGAGATGCTGCCCAGCCTAGATGGCAAGACTTACTCTGAAACTTTTCCAAGTGTTTGTATGACATCTGACTATCAGCATCGCATGGTTTTGTAATGTGGTGCAGCATGTCTCATGCACAGAATGCAGTGGATGAGCGTGTGCGCTCAAATATTCTGTATGCATGGAAAAGGAGGGTAAAAGTGAGACTCTAGGTATGAACAAAAGCTGCACAGAAGAATTCTTACAGGCATATTCTCTCTCTCTTTCTTGATAGACTTTTCAGCTTTAGTTATAATCACTTTCTTTTTATTACAATACAGACACATTTTTTAATTACATTTTTATTACATTGTATGCCAATATACTGTATATATATATATTGTTAACAAGTTTTGCTTATTTACCACACTCTAAAAAATGCTGGCTTGTTTCAACCCAATGTTGGGTCAAATATGGACTAACCCAACTGTTGGGTTAAAAAGCTAATTTAAAAATGTAACCAAAATTTAACCCAACAGTTGGGTTAGTCCATATTTGACCCAACATTGGGTTGAAACAACCCAGCATTTTTTAGAGTGCATAAATATACAATTAAACATTCATCACCACCATATATTCTCCAAATTCTATTGCTCAGGGTTGTGGGACATATACTAATAATATGAATTCTGCATATAATATTAAATCAATATTGGCATTTATTTTTTTAGTAAGAAGCTGCCATTATCACAGAATAATAGCCGGTTATTAAAAATCAACCCACTTCAGGGTGACCGTATATTATCCCTTGTCTGTTGTACCCCTGATGTTCACAGCCTAGTATGTTCTGGGAAAACAGAAACCCACTTTCAGCTGTCACATTTCTTGAAGGGACTTGTTACCTCTAGATGTGACATGCCAGCTCAACTCTTAACCTGTAGACAGCTGACCCCTGACTCTCGTATTCTTTTGCTGTTCTCCGCCTGCCACCCTTCCACCAGATACCTGACCTCGCTGTCACAGCCTGTTATTGTTAAAGATCCTTTTTACCATCTGGAATGGCTGTGCACTAAACACAAGACTACACTCCCAAACCGTTGTTTTAAATCAACAGAAGCTTAGCTAGCCTGGCTGCCGCGCAGTGCCACGGTATTGGTTTTTGTGTCAGAATGAATAGACCATGGAAAAATAAACACGGGTTTAGAAGCAAGACAAAGGGATGTGACTTTTGAACTACGCCTGTCGATCATCAGCAGGTGATGGAAAGCTACGCTTTCTAAAGCAGCACTAGGTTTCCTCTCTAAACAAAGCAGCTGCACTGTCTCCAGCGCTTTCAGAAGAGCCCCCTACTGGTAGGGAGTGCAAGCGCACCTCTCTTAACCTGAAGTTAAGGGAGCACCGACACAGCTAGCCAAGCTGTTCTGACAGCAGCTGTCAGTGGCTTGCTCACCTCCTGCAGAGAGGCAGTCCTCACCACCCTAACACCACCCCTCACCTACTTTTGTTTGGAGACCTGGAAGTGTTGGGGTGGGCTTCAGTGTGGCCGCTGAGGCTCAGTCAAGCGTCGGACAGCTTGGTGTGTGAATGGAGGGGAGTGAAGCCCATGGCTGGCCCTAGAAGACCCGGGCTGCTGAATTCACTGGTCTGGAAAACAGTTTACCAGATGTTTTGAAGGTGATAATTATAGCATATACTGTCAGAGCTGGAGGAACATAGTTACATCTCTTTCACCAGCTCAAGCTCAATTAGGCATTTGAGGTTCTTTCTCTGCAGCCTTGTCAGTGGTGGGAGAGAGGGTCTTAATTGTCAGGGTTACTCTCACCGTGTCCTCTAGCAAGCTCGCAGTTTCTCCATTTTCCTATGGCATACTTTAAAAGGTTAATCATTTCTTCACAGCCTGCTTTTTTGTGAATATTGCTGCAGCTCATATTTGGGTTTAAGGTTTTAAGCAAAAGGCCCCAAATGTGCAACACAAGATATTTCCTCTGGTATGTTTGCTGTAATGTTGAAAATTAATTCAATTAATTTAACAAAAATAGTTTTGTGATTCTATAAGATTATTTCTTTATGTTAAAAATAGTTATTGAGGGGAAAAATTCAGTTCAGATATCAACGTGTAACTCATCCCTCACAGTTTATGAAATGGGCAATAATGATTTGTAGTTTATTGTGGAGAGATGTGATATATTTTCAATGTGATCAGACTTACAATTTTTACTTGGCAAATGATAAAATATTTGAAAATAGACTTACATTGAAGAAGGCAGCAGAGACATCCTTTGACTTGTGCCTGTAGACAACCACCTGTCAACCATGGTGAACATGATGTGAACATGTTTCCAGTAAGAGATGTTATAAAGAACAAGGCCCCTCATTTAAAGTAACAATGTAATGGTAGTAATGACTTTTTTTTTGTATGTTGGGATGTACAGTACATCTGTGTAAAATGGATAATTGGAAAAGTCCAGCATGCATCACCAGAGAAACGTCTGACGTTTCACCATTTTGATTATAAAATAAGGGAAAACAATATTCAAACATATGAATGAATGAATCGTGTACAGTAAGGTCAATAACATGCATTTAAAAAATAGATTTGCATTTCATGCAAATTTTGAAGGTGAAATGTGTGAAAATGTAAATGTTAAACAATTTTGTTTAAAAATCCCATGCAAATCACTTTTCAATGAGCATGAACACTACTGTAGTTGTTTGAGTGAGCCATCATGTAAATGTCTGGTTCAACTAATGCTGTGATTGGATGGTGGGATTCCTTGTTTTCTGAACAAGACAGGCCGGTAGACGTGTTTGGGAGACCAGTTTGTAAACAGTTAGTTTTGCGATTTCATTTGATGCTGCCAGTGGTGAATAAATTACCCTTCACCTTTAGTTTAATCTTTTCGTAAACATAGGAAGACTGACAAGATCAAATGCATAGCTGTTTGTTCTTAGTCTGTTTGTTTATATCTTGACTACTAACATTGTCAATGTTTTGCATGGCACAGAAAGCAAGTTAGCAAATAAACTTTTTCCCACCTTTTGTTTTGTCTGGTTTGAGTAGTGTTTTGTCTTTTTCTTCCAGTGAGTGTAATTTGAAAAACAAACAGCCTGGATGGAGCTTCATGAATAAAGGATACGCTGGTACAGGTGGGCTGCTGTGGGGGGAAACGAAGGCCTGTCAAGCCCACCTCCAGTGTCAATCACAAAACGACAACATAAAGAGAACCAGAGCGAGAGTCTGTCTGCCAGCCGTGCTCCTAGAGGCGCTTCATGGTAGAGCTTGTCTTACTCTCAGGCTGGTGTTTCAGCTGCAGGCTCAACGGGGACAACAAAAAAGCAAGAAGTGTGACGGCAGGGCCGGGAGAGGATGAGGAAGAGTGAGAAGAAGAGCCGAGAGGTGCTCTAGGCCTTTAATCCACCTCAGTGGCACCACCTCTTCCAGCGCCGTGCCCCGTTAGCGAGACAGCGTTTCACCCGCGCCTGGCAGACATGTCTCCGCTCCTCCGTGCCAGCCCCTGACAGGTGACAAAATCAAAAGGTCACGTCACTTTGAACTGGCAGCGTTTGTTGCCCTGCTGATTTCCCCCGTGCCGCCATGGCTCGCAGGCGAGGTTGGAGGCGAGGCGGGGAGCAACTTTGGCAGCTCCTGAACTTCGTCTTTGTGAACTTTTGTACCCGTGATTTTGCTAACAACACTGCAGCGCCGTGTGATTTTTGTCACGACTGCTGCTGCCATTGTTGACGCAGGCTTGTCTTGGGAAGCCGGGGTTTTATTTACAGAACAGAAAGCCAGAGTGTTTTTCTGGGTCTGTGGGTTCAGGGCTGCTGCGGATTACAGTAGAGCTTGGGCCATGGGACTGACGGCACCGCTGACTCCCGCTGCTTTTGGATACGCACGACCCTGGCGCGTCCTCTTGCCAGCCCGTGTGCCCCGTAAAACTCAGCCCCAAAGAGACGTACTGGCTTCTCCGTCCCTCTCCCACACATTACAGCAATTAATTTGCCCATTGTCCTCATTTTTGAATCGTGACCGCTTTTATTGAAACGTAACACTTTGCCCAAACAGAACCGGCAGAGTTACTCTTTGACTTGAGCCCCTGCAGAGGTCAGACCACAGTCAGCCAGTGCTGGCAAAAACTCAAGCCCTCCCTCTGACCAGCAGGGCTCTGACAGCCTGTGAAGAGGCTGTTTGGGCTCGATGTGCTCCGGCGAGAGCCCTTATCAGCCTTCCAGGCCTGGGCTCTCCCGGGCCTCTGGTCCACACGTGGCATACAAAGCAGGGCCAGCCCCTGAGCAGCTGGAGACGCTAGAGATGTCTCACATTTCAAAGAAGAGCTGGAGGAGGGGAGAGCGCGAGAGCTGAGAGGCAGGGGAAAAAAATGAAAGTGCATATCTTCATGTTGGATGGCTTGTCTAGCTAGGGCGTCTATTCCCAGCGCACCTGTCTCGGGGAAGGTTAGAATTAAAAGCGCAGATAGCAGGGTTCTTCCTCCACTCATGGCAGAAGGCAAAAGAAAATGCATTAACTCGCCAGGATGGATGTCACGGCGCTGGTCTGGAGATGGTGCCGCTGCTAACCGAAAGGCCAAACAATGGACTTAAAGTCTGGCTCTGATGCTATTTTAGACTGAATTTCTGTCTGCAAGTGAGACATATTGACTGCCAAACTTTCGAGTTCATGCTACCACGGCCCTTGAAGTTCAACTTCCTCCAAGTTCCTTTACCCAGCGTATGACCTCTGGCTAACCTAGCGCCGGAGCCACATCGCTCTTCGAGTCAATCCGTGTGCTATTAGGCTAGTGCAAAACACCATCGCTAGTCTCCTCACAACATTGCGTGTATCTATCCTGAACCCTCCTCTTGTTTCTGCCGCAGGCTGCATTTACATAAGAGGCTTATAGCTGCCATACACTCTCTTTTAGACAAAACAAAGGAACAAAAGCTATTGTTTGCTAAGTAACAATTTTTGGATGTCACAAAAAAACTGATGAAATGCATGGAGCCAGAAAAAAGAAAAAAATCATCAAAAAGAAGATGTATTCCTCCCTTGATAGCTTTTTGGTGTTTTCAGATGCCCGAGTTGTCGTATTTAAATAGCACACACATGACCTTGAAGCTTTGATGCGGGATTGACAGGAGGAACCACAAGAAGAGAAATAATGATCTATGTCTTTTCAATCCTCCGGCAACAAAAACAGACATGTGATACACACTCCTCTGGGCTCCCGTAAGCCACTGAGGCCAAATATAATGTTTTCAGTTGACCGAGATAAACTCTTTATTTGTGTGCCAACATATCGTCTGATTATTTTGGTGTCTACAGTTCTGATTAACAAGCCAATGAGATCTGAATAATTAATGCCGCCAAATTACTAGCTCACACAGGAAGGATTTTTTTTCTGTTTGTGAGACTAAAAAATAAATGTGGCATATTTTAGATTCTATAAACAGCTCTTATTATATTAGTGACTGCAGTTTCCCAAGAACAAATGAAAGTGATGTGAACATTATACATTTTGGTTTATTTGATCCTTTTAGCACTGCAAGAAGTTATTTTTAATTTAGCAAAAAACTGTAAATAGCGCTTGTCTGTACAAAACCCACGGCTATGATGTACTTGTTAGTGGTTGCTATGCATTGATAAGTTGTTCTGAGTGGTTGTGTAGTGTGTTGCTACTATGCTATGAAGTGTTTGCTTACTAAATCAGAAGTGCTCACCTCTGTGATATTCTGATCTGTAGATACAGTATGGTTGGGAGTGATATACACGATATACGTATATATTTTTAAATGTATTTATATCATGATTTGTATGCTCTTTATAGGTGGAAAAGGTCTGGTTGTTTAGACAGCAATTAAAAAAAAGTATGAATAATAGTTAATAACTGTTTCTGTAGCAAGAACCACTGATGATTCTCAGATGTAAGCAAGCAAATAATTGATTCTTTCAAGCTTTTGAGCCTGCAGTTTTTCTAGATTGCAAAATGAAATCAATGTTTATTTAAACATTCGTTGATTCCTTGCCCTCTATCTTGCTCTCAATATTCTCGGCATCACTCTTTTCATCATTTTCACTGGTCTGTGTTCACATGTTCTTCTGGGAGAATCGAGTAGCCAGCAGCATTTCTCGAGGTCATGGGCATACGGCTCTTTGTGTGCTTGAGTTAAGTATGAAAACCTGAAGGGGTTTTGATGGGACCATTGTTGGCCTGGATCTGGTCCACTGAAGCACGTAGTTAACGTTCTATGTCATCAGCCTTCCTTTGCCAGAGGCTCTATTCAGGTTTTAACCTTATGGACAAGAGGACACAACTGATGACTTTAGCGACTGAGGTCACACTCGGAGGGTTTGCTTTCTATCCAAGGACTGTGTGCTATCATTTGTTTTCACTCGAAGATGTGGAGATGTTCCTAAGTGTACATGTGAAATTGATTTTCTCTTTGTTTTTTTTCTACTTTTTTTCTGCTCTCTTTTGTTCTGCTCTTCACAATGCACATCAGCAAGCTGTGGAGGATTTGCTGGAGGACGAGGAGGAAGACTTTGACAGAGATGACAAGGTAATTATCGGTGCCACTCACAAACATGTATTCCAACACAGATGTATATTTAATGCTCAAACGCTCTTCTCTAAAGTGAAATGCAATGAAAATGTATTATTTATTGTGTTTGACCTCACTCAAATACCAGCAGGTCATTGTTTTCTTGTGTATTTAATGCTTTCGGCCACATTTCATAGAGTCCAGGTCCACAGCTAGTCTGTCAGAGCTGCTAGTGTCTGACGTCTACAGAGTTGCAGTACATGTTTCCTTTCTACTCAGAATAAAGGGGAGTCACATAGGCATAAATAAACATGGCTTCAGGGTCTCTGTGTTGAGCTTCTGATATTTCTCAAGGCCTTTGAAGTGCAATTAATAGCATTCAAATGACCGCAAGCCAAATGCCCCAGCAGCTTTTGTGAGGAAGCATTTTAATATTTCTGAGCAGGCAGATTCATATTATTGCCTGCCAAAATACCAGCACTTATGTGCTTTTAGCACTTTGTCTGGAAATGGGACAACAAGAATGTCAACAAGAACATTTTTGGAGCAGTGTAGACTTAAGATGAAAACATAACCTTTGACATCTTCCTAACATTTCTCCTTAGTGGACTTTCAAAGAGCATAAAGTGTACATATAGTGTGTGTATGTAGAAGAATGAACTGAATATCTGTATTAATGTTGACAAGGATCTGTTGTTCTTTGTGTCAGATTAGCTTCAGTTGAGAGGTTGGAAGGTTGAAATGGGCTACTTGTCCTCTCTTTGTCCTTTCTCCTTCTTGTTTGCATAGTTTTGTTTTGTTTTACTTTGAATTTGTTGGATGGTCAATGTTACGCTCTATTAAAAGATTTATCTGGAACAAAAATGATTTAGGATGACAGTTAAATTGAAATCAATTGTAATATTTATTTATGAATTAAAAAGCACACAGATAAAGGTAAAAATTCAAGCATTTCAATATAAAAATTTCAATTAACTTTTTATTTGTAGTAATTTATCTGTTAATATTGTTAATTTCATTAAAATTAATAAGAATTACCAGTGCTACAGATGACAGAGGCCTCACAAAAGCAATGTGAGGAAAAAAGTGATGCAGAGTTATATCAGACTACAATGCTAATAGTTAGAAAAAGTAGCTTGTTACTTTAAAAGCAACACTATCTGTCATACTTTCAGTTCCTCCTCAAAAACTAGTTTGTATTTCTTTTTTCCCCCCATCTACGTCTCTTTACTTTCTTCTCCATGTCAGTTTGTTGATGACCTCACATTCTCATTACCTCCTCTGTTTGTTCAAGCAGTAAAATACTGAGATCACATCAGGGAAGGCCCACTTATACTGGATGAAGGAAGAAAAAATGGATAAATGTGCCAAGGGCTCATTTTAATTGAACCTGAAGCATATGTTACAAGTATGTGCAATATGTCCCAGATGTTTAGGCCAGGCCTAGTCTTCAGCTCTTCTTTAGTCTCCACTAGGAAGCTATTAGCTGGATAACCTTTGCTCCAGGGGCTAAATGGGGTATTACATAGCAGTCACCTGTTTTGCATTGGACTGGGGACCTCTTGCTGGCGTAGTATGAGCCAAGACATGTGTTCTTACTTAACAAACTGCTTCGTGATAGTTAAAAGTGTCTTTCTTCAGACTCACTGCAGATATTAGTCAATTACTCTTAATGAAAATCCAAAGTCAAGGCTAATTGATGGAGACGGCTCAGTTGTTTTGCCCAAGTAGGCAATTGGTTCCAAAACAAGAAAAAGGGAGGGAGAAAAAGAGAGGAGAGCTCAGGTGAAAGCAAGGTTAGTGCAAGTGACACTGTAAAAGTGTTTTAAAACAGGGGATTTTTGCAGTGCACCTGGCTATGTGAAATCAAGTCAGTGTTGAGGAAGCTGCTTTGAAATCATAATTTAAAGAAGTTCGACTACAGTTGAGCTTTTGCCTTTTAAAATAGTAGTTTGCTACTCTGCGAGTTACTAATTAAAGCTTACTGCATTGAAATTGTTTATAAATAAAATACAAATCAACACTTTTTTCACTAAATCAGCATTAGCAATAAAGAACATTAATTACCTGAGTACATGTTCACTAAAACAAACAAAAAATGTTAAGAGCTTAAGATGTGAAATGCCTCAAGCACAACCATGACCTCTTCAATATTCCATCCTCTTCAAAGTGCAAAAATTCAAGCTAGCAGGTCTACAAACATGAGTATGGGAATGGAATTCCTGCTGCTACTTTCAGATTGACATCACGTTATTACATTTAGATGATAGATTATGAAGACAAGTTCTTTTTATAAAGTACACCAATACATTTCCACAATGAGAAAGTAAATAGGATCAAATGATTTAGCTTTAGCCTAGCAAGCTACAGTTTCAATGTACCTTCTCCAACACATTTTTGTGACCATGAATTTTTGGGTTAAACATAATTTGGATGGCCATGTATGCAAAAGCATGCTGGGTACAACAACTGCGTAAGCCATATGCTTGCCTCACACTTCTCCTTTTTTCTTTGCCAGGCTAGTGCCAGTGTGTGTGCATGTGAATGTGTCCATGTGTCCATGTGTGTTTACAGTGCTGAATAGCTCTCTGGAGAGCTTGCCGACTCCACCAAATTCATCAGCAATCCCAGCAATAACAGCCAAAATATTTTAACACCTGCTCCGCCAAACACATGTAAACACACAGGCAGAATGGCAGGTAATTATCCAGGTGATAATGAATGCGCCTCACATTGTTAAACCTCTCTCAGATATGCTAGTGTGGAATTAAGGAGTAGCATTGGCTACGCTACGATAACGTGCCTAACGCTCCGCTTGTGCCACAGCTGTCTCGCACTTGTGTGCACCCACTTTCCCAAAGAAAGTTTGCGAAGGATTGGTATTTTCATTACCGTTCATTATTTTTATGCAGCTAAACTTCACCTGTCATAAAGCAGATGCTGGAAGGCCTAGTCTTTCTTGCTCTGATAATATTTTGAGATATACAATGTGTTGTTTTTAATTGAATGGTTCACTTAAAATTATAATTCTGTCATCATTTACTCATCCTCATGTCATTACAAATCTATAGGACTTGCTTTGTTCTGTGAAACACAAAAGGAGAAAATATAAATAATGCGCCGGTCACTCTTTTCTATGCATTTATGATGGATTTTTAGCTTTAAAAAGATGCTTAAAAGGTTAGTTCACCCAAAAATGAAAATTCTGTCATTAATTTCTCCCCTCACGTCGTTCCAAACCCATAAAACCTTTGTTCATCTTCTGAACACAAATTAAGATATTTTTGATGAAATCCAAGAGCGTTCTGACCCTCCGTAGGCAGCAACACAACTACCACGTTCAAGGCACAGAAAGCTAGTAAGGACATCGTTATAATATGTGTTGTGGTACTGTCGTGAACGTGTGTTGAAGACTGACATGGAAGAGAAGAATTTGTTGAATAAAGACGTTATTTTTGTTTTCTTTGCACAAAAAGTATTCTCGTAGCTTCATAAAATTAAGGTTGAACCACAGATGCCACAAGGACTACTTTAACGATGTCCTTACTACCTTTCTGGGCCTTGAACATGGTAGTGGTGTTGCTGTCTATGCAGGGTCAGAAAGCTCTCAGATTTCATCAAATATATTAATTTGTGTTCCGATGAACGAAGGTCTTACAGGTTTGGAACGACATGAGGGTGAGTAATTAATGACAGAATTTTCATTTTTGGGTGAACTATCCCTTTAAGCACCATACAAGTATCATAAAAGTGGTTCATATGACTCATTTGCTATAGTCCAAGTCTTCTAAAGCAATACACAAATAGTTTGTGTCAAAAACAGACCAAAAATTAAGTCATTGTTCACCTATAAACTTTTGTGACCAGTCAGTGAGTTAAACTCAAGAACCAAATCAGTCTGATTTGTGAGCGAATCATTTACAAAGATACCAAATCAGTCTGATTTGTGAGCGAATCATTTACACAGATTTTGTTATCTGGATCAACAAATTATTTGAAAAGATTTGACTCAAAAGAACAATTAATCCACAAATCTGACATAACATACATTTCAATATGTTTCTTTCACAAACACATTGTATGACTTCAAAAGACTTGGAATATAGTGCAAAAGTTGTATGGACCACTTTTATGGTGTTATTTTGTCTCTTTGAAGATTAAAATCTCCAGTTTGCATTAATTTTAACGGCGTGGAAAAGAGCAGCCTGGACATTTCCCAAACATCTCATTTTGTCTTCCATAGACATGAGAGTGAGTATTGTATTTTTTATGTATTTTCAATAACGTGCACTACATTGTCCAATTCACTGTCTGTTTTTTTATTTTCGTTATTCCAACAAGTTTATTTTTTTGCACATGCTAATTGATGGTACAGCTACAGTATTTGGGTTTCGGTGATGTCATTAGAACCGGTGTTGTGCGTACATGTGTCCGAAGCGCAGTACGGAGGAATAATCAGCGCTAGTGCTCTGTCTGAGAAGCAGCCAGGATGATAGCGCCAGTGTCTCCAGGGAGCGAAAGAGAGAGGGTGAAAGAGTGTTGAGATTAGGAGTGTACGCATGACTGGCCACTGGAGTAATGGTCCTACACATACACACACACAGCCCGAGGAGGAGCCGCCCCAGATAAGATACACACTGCAATCATGTCATGCTCACAGGCTTACCACAACTCACGCACGCCTCCTTACATGCCCAACAGCTGTTAGGAAGTGTGCGTGATTGTGCTGCCTGCTCGACTGGATATTAAAGATGGCATGTAACCGTATGCTGTACCTCTTATAAATAAGCAAACATTCAATATGAATGTGAAGCAAAACAGTGACAGAGAATAAGAGAAAAAACAGGATATCGTGTGTTGTCAAAGGCTTGTCGGTTTCTGTTTTGTGAATTAATAAAGGTAAGTGTAGCTTTTAGGCTAGAAATATACTGTGCAAAAATGTAAATGCAGACACTTGTCCGACACTGTAAAGCGTGCAGCAGACAAACTGTGGTGGTTAGAAACGTCAGAACTCAAGGGGGCAGTGAAGTTAACTTTAAATATCTGTGCTATAGGATGTTAAATGATTATAGTTCTGGTAGCTAACTATAAACACGTATGTACATTGCCATTCATACCATGGGGTTTTTATGTCTCTTGGAGCTAACCAAGGCTGCATTTATTTGATCAAAAATACAGTAAAAACAGTAATATTGTGAAAAATGACAATAAAATAAACTGTTTTCTATTTTAAAATGCAATTTATTTCTGTGATGAGAAAGCTGAATTTTCATCAGATATTATTCCAGTCTTCTGTGTCACATGATCCTTCAGAAATCATTCTAATATGCATTTCCTAGTCCAAAAAAAAAAAGTACTCAACCGTAACTTTTAAACAGTATAGTGTACTATAGATATTTACTGGATTCATGTTTCATCACGCTTTTCAGCTGTCGTTGTCCAAACAGTGATGTCCATTGTCCAGATACAGTGGCGGCCAAAATTATTAGAACACCTGACAGATCTGAAAATATTGACCTTTTTTGTTTTCAAAAAATTATTTCATTTCATAATGTTCATGAAACATGCAGATGGTTTCTCTGAGCACAGAAAAAAATCAGATGAAGTGAGTCGTACTGTTTTTATCCACTTTTAACTTTAATATTTGGTATGTCCACCTTTTGGCCAATTTAACAAAAACAACTGAAACCTTTTAAATATGCCAAGTGTTCTAATAATTGGGGCCATCACTGTATAGAAGAAATACATTCTCTCATCAGGAAGTCATGGCCTAATGGTTAGAGAGTCGAACTCATAACCCAAAGGTTGTGGGTTCGAGTCTCGTACCGGCAGGGATTGTAGGTGGGGGGAGTGAATGTACAGCGCTCTCTCCCACCTTCAATACCACGACTGAGGTGCCCTTGAGCAAAGCACCGAACCCCCAACTGCTCCCCGGGCGCCGCAGCATAAAATGGTGTTCACTGCTGTGTGTGTGCACTTTGGATGGGTAAATGCAGAGCACTAATTCTGAGTATGGGTCACCATACTTGGCCACATGTCATGTCACTTCACGTCACTATAGTGAATAAACTAAATGTTAAACTGAAAAAAATCACAATAAATTTCATATGAATTCCTTCAGTTATCTAAATAGTTTTGACTGTAACTGTAAACTGATTACCAACTATTTAATGTTAACTGCAAGTACATGCAGTAACTTGTGTTTTGTATTTTAAGTGTAACATTGCAGATCTACTGTATTAGTGCATACAGTGTTAAAGATAAAATGTCCTGTAAGCAAAATAAATAAAAGTCTTCTGTAAAAGGAAAGGAAAAAAATGAGCAAGAGAAATAAAATGAGCAAATGAAATAAGTAAAATATCTTCTGTTTCTCTCTTTCGCTCTCTTTTTGGACTTGACCTTGTTTTAAGAGTTTAGCCTACTCTTACTTACTCTCTCCACCACACCGCTGCCACTTTAGCAGGGAGAAAAGGAAAACGAACCTCTGCACTGTGAAACGCTGACAATCTGATCCTGATTCATGCACATTTATGTCCGCTAGAATCTAGCATTACAAGTGAGTCTTATCTGTATATAACACGCGGAGGGTTAAACCCAGCCGAGCAGAGACAGGGGGTTGATCTGGGCGATAGCTACATGGCAGTATGTAATTGGACTAAAGAGTGTGCTAGGGATTATTTTTATTACTTTGAAAAACTGTGACTGAAAACTTGTTCTGGGGCTATTGAGCTTTTGATACATGATGCGTATCCTCAGGTAACGTGGCTTACTTCAGTGCAAAGGAGAATACAGAGAGAAAGAGAGAATGTTTGTGCATCTCTGGCTGCTTTTCTTCTCAGCGCCTCTAAAAGATGAAAAGCTTCATGCTGTAAAAGATGCTTTTGACTTGGCTTTTTTCCTTTTTCTTCTTATTTAGGGGAGAGATGCTCCTAGGAACTGCATTTTAATCATGTTTGGCTAATAAAGAGAGATTAGAAAATCCTTCACACACACTCAGGGCATTGTCTTGTTGTGTAAAATAGCTTCATTGTTTGATTTCTCTTTTTTGCCTTTACATCAGGTGGATATTTTCTCTCTCTCTCTCTCTCAAGGGTCCTAAGCCATCTTAGTAGCCATCAATGTTTTTTTGTCTAACTGTTTTCCTTTTGTAGCCCTGCTTTAAAAAGATCTCAATTTATTCTGGTCCACAAGGTGCCGGGCTCAGTCCCCTCCCAGGATGGCCGGCTGCCGGAAAGCCATATCCTTGCGGATATTTTGGCTTCCTGGCACTTTGAGTGGATACGCGTGATGGTGGTAAGTGCAGTCCGTATGTCCCCCGTGTCTCACTTTTATGGCTCATCGTCTGTCATGCCAAGCAGGGTTGTGTGTCGCTCCCTTTCATTTCTCACTTTGTTCTCAGTTATCACTTTACCTTCTTTATCTTGAAGAAATCACCTGGTGCTTAGTTATTTGTTTGAATCTGCAATAGCTGAAAACTTCCTACACTTCATAAAATGGGTTGTTCGGTGGGTGTTTATGCTAGGTCATCTAAATACGGCAACATGCTCAGTAGAAAGTAGTTCTGGGTTTGGGTTTTCTCCATGTTGTTTTGGCTTAAAGGTAGTACTGTGCTTTACTAACCATGTGTCTATAAGCATTCAGGGTGCACTGGGGCATCCATGTTTGTGCTGTCACTAACTTTTTTCAAACCAGCCAGTTAGCCCAACATGGCTTGCTCGATGACGTCACTCAGAGAAACTCATTTGCAGCTCAGCTCACGTTAAAGAAACACCGAACCTGTGCTGTATAGACAATGAAAGCTGCTTCCAAGTAGAGGGTTTATGAATGAATTATGAGGGTGTATTGATGTTTGTCTCCGAAGTGGAGGAATGCCATTGCCATTTATATCCTTTTGAGAAGCGCATCCCTCAAGGAAACTTTTGAAATTGAGAATGTCTACATGCACTCACTATAGATGGCATCTCAGCACATTCATATGTAATAGAGGTTATATAATAATAATAATATAATAATGTAATAGTGGTTACCTAGTCCAACAACCGACTAGTTGATTTGTAAGGACCTCTAAGTTATATGGATTTTAAGCAATATGTATTTGTTATTTTTAGCAGCAATGGATTAATTAGGAAGCTGACAGCTTAAAGAGATAGTTGTGTTAAATAAATAAATAAATTCTCTCATCATTTACTTGCCACATCTTGTTCCTAACCTATTTTATTTTATTTTAATTAGTGCTGTCAAACGATTAATTGCGATTAATCGCATCCAAAATAAAGGTTTTGTTTACATAATACAGGTGTGTATACTGTGCATATTTATTAAATACAAACACATGCATGCATATATTTAAGAAAAATATGTTTATATATTAAATATATTTATATATAATATAAAATATAAGAATATAAATAACCGTATGCTGTACCTCTTATAAATAAGCAAACATTCAATATGAATGTGAAGCAAAACAGTGACAGAGAATAAGAGAAAAAACAGGATATCGTGTGTTGTCAAAGGCTTGTCGGTTTCTGTTTTGTGAATTAATAAAGGTAAGTGTAGCTTTTAGGCTAGAAATATACTGTGCAAAAATGTAAATGCAGACACTTGTCCGACACTGTAAAGCGTGCAGCAGACAAACTGTGGTGGTTAGAAACGTCAGAACTCAAGGGGGCAGTGAAGTTAACTTTAAATATCTGTGCTATAGGATGTTAAATGATTATAGTTCTGGTAGCTAACTATAAACACGTATGTACATTGCCATTCATACCATGGGGTTTTTATGTCTCTTGGAGCTAACCAAGGCTGCATTTATTTGATCAAAAATACAGTAAAAACAGTAATATTGTGAAAAATGACAATAAAATAAACTGTTTTCTATTTTAAAATGCAATTTATTTCTGTGATGAGAAAGCTGAATTTTCATCAGATATTATTCCAGTCTTCTGTGTCACATGATCCTTCAGAAATCATTCTAATATGCATTTCCTAGTCCAAAAAAAAAAAGTACTCAACCGTAACTTTTAAACAGTATAGTGTACTATAGATATTTACTGGATTCATGTTTCATCACGCTTTTCAGCTGTCATTGTCCAAACAGTGATGTCCATTGTCCAGATACAGTGGCGGCCAAAATTATTAGAACACCTGACAGATCTGAAAATATTGACCTTTTTTGTTTTCAAAAAATTATTTCATTTCATAATGTTCATGAAACATGCAGATGGTTTCTCTGAGCACAGAAAAAAATCAGATGAAGTGAGTCGTACTGTTTTTATCCACTTTTAACTTTAATATTTGGTATGTCCACCTTTTGGCCAATTTAACAAAAACAACTGAAACCTTTTAAATATGCCAAGTGTTCTAATAATTGGGGCCATCACTGTATAGAAGAAATACATTCTCTCATCAGGAAGTCATGGCCTAATGGTTAGAGAGTCGAACTCATAACCCAAAGGTTGTGGGTTCGAGTCTCGTACCGGCAGGGATTGTAGGGGGGGGGGGGGAATGTACAGCGCTCTCTCCCACCTTCAATACCACGACTGAGGTGCCCTTGAGCAAAGCACCGAACCCCCAACTGCTCCCCGGGCGCCGCAGCATAAAATGGTGTTCACTGCTGTGTGTGTGCACTTTGGATGGGTAAATGCAGAGCACTAATTCTGAGTATGGGTCACCATACTTGGCCACATGTCATGTCACTTCACGTCACTATAGTGAATAAACTAAATGTTAAACTGAAAAAAATCACAATAAATTTCATATGAATTCCTTCAGTTATCTAAATAGTTTTGACTGTAACTGTAAACTGATTACCAACTATTTAATGTTAACTGCAAGTACATGCAGTAACTTGTGTTTTGTATTTTAAGTGTAACATTGCAGATCTACTGTATTAGTGCATACAGTGTTAAAGATAAAATGTCCTGTAAGCAAAATAAATAAAAGTCTTCTGTAAAAGGAAAGGAAAAAAATGAGCAAGAGAAATAAAATGAGCAAATGAAATAAGTAAAATATCTTCTGTTTCTCTCTTTCGCTCTCTTTTTGGACTTGACCTTGTTTTAAGAGTTTAGCCTACTCTTACTTACTCTCTCCACCACACCGCTGCCACTTTAGCAGGGAGAAAAGGAAAACGAACCTCTGCACTGTGAAACGCTGACAATCTGATCCTGATTCATGCACATTTATGTCCGCTAGAATCTAGCATTACAAGTGAGTCTTATCTGTATATAACACGCGGAGGGTTAAACCCAGCCGAGCAGAGACAGGGGGTTGATCTGGGCGATAGCTACATGGCAGTATGTAATTGGACTAAAGAGTGTGCTAGGGATTATTTTTATTACTTTGAAAAACTGTGACTGAAAACTTGTTCTGGGGCTATTGAGCTTTTGATACATGATGCGTATCCTCAGGTAACGTGGCTTACTTCAGTGCAAAGGAGAATACAGAGAGAAAGAGAGAATGTTTGTGCATCTCTGGCTGCTTTTCTTCTCAGCGCCTCTAAAAGATGAAAAGCTTCATGCTGTAAAAGATGCTTTTGACTTGGCTTTTTTCCTTTTTCTTCTTATTTAGGGGAGAGATGCTCCTAGGAACTGCATTTTAATCATGTTTGGCTAATAAAGAGAGATTAGAAAATCCTTCACACACACTCAGGGCATTGTCTTGTTGTGTAAAATAGCTTCATTGTTTGATTTCTCTTTTTTGCCTTTACATCAGGTGGATATTTTCTCTCTCTCTCTCTCTCAAGGGTCCTAAGCCATCTTAGTAGCCATCAATGTTTTTTTGTCTAACTGTTTTCCTTTTGTAGCCCTGCTTTAAAAAGATCTCAATTTATTCTGGTCCACAAGGTGCCGGGCTCAGTCCCCTCCCAGGATGGCCGGCTGCCGGAAAGCCATATCCTTGCGGATATTTTGGCTTCCTGGCACTTTGAGTGGATACGCGTGATGGTGGTAAGTGTGGTCCGTATGTCCCCGTGTCTCACTTCTATGGCTCATCGTCTGTCACGCCAAGCAGGGTTGTGTGTCGCTCCCTTTCACCTCTCACTTTGTTCTCAGTTGTCACTTTTCCTTCTTTATCTACAAGAACATCCTGGTGATCAGTGCTTTGTTATTTGTTGGATTAGCTGGAAACTTCATAAAATGGGTTGTTCGGTGGGTGTTTATGCTAGGTCATCTAAATACGGCAACATGCTCAGTAGAAAGTAGTTCTGGGTTTGGGTTTTCTCCATGTTGTTTTGGCTTAAAGGTAGTACTGTGCTTTACTAACCATGTGTCTATAAGCATTCAGGGTGCACTGGGGCATCCATGTTTGTGCTGTCACTAACTTTTTTCAAACCAGCCAGTTAGCCCAACATGGCTTGCTCGATGACGTCACTCAGAGAAACTCATTTGCAGCTCAGCTCACGTTAAAGAAACACCGAACCTGTGCTGTATAGACAATGAAAGCTGCTTCCAAGTAGAGGGTTTATGAATGAATTATGAGGGTGTATTGATGTTTGTCTCCGAAGTGGAGGAATGCCATTGCCATTTATATCCTTTTGAGAAGCGCATCCCTCAAGGAAACTTTTGAAATTGAGAATGTCTACATGCACTCACTATAGATGGCATCTCAGCACATTCATATGTAATAGAGGTTATATAATAATAATAATATAATAATGTAATAGTGGTTACCTAGTCCAACAACCGACTAGTTGATTTGTAAGGACCTCTAAGTTATATGGATTTTAAGCAATATGTATTTGTTATTTTTAGCAGCAATGGATTAATTAGGAAGCTGACAGCTTAAAGAGATAGTTGTGTTAAATAAATAAATAAATTCTCTCATCATTTACTTGCCACATCTTGTTCCTAACCTATTTTATTTTATTTTAATTAGTGCTGTCAAACGATTAATTGCGATTAATCGCATCCAAAATAAAGGTTTTGTTTACATAATACAGGTGTGTATACTGTGCATATTTATTAAATACAAACACATGCATGCATATATTTAAGAAAAATATGTTTATATATTAAATATATTTATATATAATATAAAATATAAGAATATAAATATATAAATGCATATACATGTAAATATTTTCAAAATATATACTGTATGTGTGTGTATTTATATATGCATAATAAATATACTGAGTACACACACATATTATATAAACAAACTTTTATTTTGGATGCGATTAATCGCGATTAATCATTTGACAGCACTAATTTGAATGAATATTTAATAAATATTTTATAAGTTAATTTATTTTTATGTTTTTTTCTATTTATTGTAATTTAATAAAATTACAGGAA